TTGTGCCTGCAACAATGCTGAGCACATAGTAGGAGCTTGACAAATATTTGTGGGCTCATTTCTCGTAAATGAACGCTCGCAAAGCTGAGGGAATGAACGGTCAGGTCCTAGGCTGGCTCGAGAGGCTGGCTTCACGTTATCCCGGTGTTTTTCTTTAATGCTGAGGTTCTACGCTTTCTTCTAGGAAGCCCCCACCACTCAGAGCTGCCGCTCCTGGAAAGAGTTAAGGCTTTGGTAAGAGGCACCACCACCAGGCGAGGGACGTCTCCCCGGCCCCTGTCGTCCCGCGAGGGCACAGTGCACCACAGCAGCTAGTTTCAGTGAGCAACCTCCTCATAAATGTCGGTCTTGCCAGGGGGTCCAGGGGGGGCCTTGATTTATTATATAGCTTTTGGACACTTCCTACAGAAACACTGCCAGACAGTGGAATAATCAACTCTTTCACTCCAGTCGCCTCCTACTTTTTTTTTTTTTTAATGAAAGAATAAAGCACGCAACGAGACTGAGCTAAATAAATAAAAAGGCCACACTTCTCCCCGACGGAACTTTCTGCGTCACTGAGGAATATTTACCGACCTCAACAATCTTCTATCTTCACAATGACGTTCTGGCCTTCGGAGTTCTGGCCGTTCTGAGAACTCCTTTGATTTGAGTCCCCTAATTAAATTTCTTATGTGAACAATTAGCTTATTAACCAATAATGTCCTTATTTGATGTTCCATCCAGCAGACATTAGAGAACCCCTTCCTCCCCGTGTGGTCCGTTCCCCAGTTCCTGGAGCCGAGGGCTCTGTGGAAACCCCACATCACTGTGGGGATCAGACCAATGCAGCCCCGGGGGAAACAGGCCTGGGCCTGGGCCAGGAGCGGAGGGTGTCTTCCCCACTTGGTGGAGGAGAGACCGCGGCCCCAGCCTCGTGAGTGCGCCGAGTACCCTTATCTAGTGAGGGGGTTCAAGTGGATGCTTTCTAAGGTGCCTTCTAGGTCTGAACTTTTGTGACTTTAGGTTTAAACCCCTGGCTGAGATTAAATTTGGGCATGACAAGCGCATGTCACAAATTATTTTTTTAAAGAGCCCCAATTTCCACCACTTCGCCTCATTCATTCCTTCATTCACCCAGTACTTAATGGGCTCCTCTTACATGCCAGGCACTGGTCTAGTGGTCAACCAGACAAGATAACAGCCGCTACTGTCAGGGGACCTCTCGTCCAGTGGGGAGACAGGAAACGCGCACGTCCACCACTAGACATAAGGTGACTTCAGGGGGAGTGATGGGCAGAGAACATCAATAAGCAGCACCACGTGAGAGAGAGCAGCAAGAGGGAGAACACGGCTCCTCCCGAGAGGCTGGCTGGGAAGGCCTCTCCGTGGAGGTGGTGCCCGAGCTGAGACCTGAAGAGCCCTGCAGAACTGGTGGGGAGAGCACCCCAGGCAGCAGGAACAGCAGTTGCAAAGGCTCCAGGCTGCGGACGAACTTGGGTATTCGAAGAACAAAAAGGGGGCCAATGCAGCTGGTGACTGGGGAGGAGGGAGTGACCCAAGACACAGGGGACAGCCAAAGGAGGAAGGGCATTAGGGGGGCCCTGGACCTGGGTGGAGAAAAATGTCATCTTTCTTTCCACCAACCTCTACCTGAGAATGAGCACCCCCCACAGTCGCCGATGCCAATGACCCTCAGTGATGTGAGCAGCGCCAGGGACTCACCAGCGCGAGGGACACAGGCCCGCTCACATCACTGCCAGCACAGACACCTGGAGATTTCCTGCTCACCACAAGTCCAAAATTGCAGCAGTGATTTGACCAGCTGCTGACCTTATCACTGAAAATATGAACACATATACTTACTTCAATGCCATGCATTTAAAAAGTATCTAATAACTGTATTTAGTAACCCCGTGTATTTCATTTTATACACATAGAAGCATTCTTCTGAGAAGGGATCTCGAGGCTTTACCCAATGGCCAAGGTGCCTGGAAGCCAAGGAAAGGGCTTTGGGCTCTATCCTGGGTAGGACAGAGAGCTGGGGCAGCGGTTTCAGCAGGAGATTCGGCTGTCACTTTTCAGAGTCAACCAGGCTGCCAGGAGGGGCAGTCCCATGGCTGCTCTGGGCTGTACTGAGGGCCAAAGGGGGCGTGGCTTTAACGGACCCTGGTTCTGACCAATCCAGAGGGGGCAGTGTCCCTGGGTCCTGGTGGGCTCTGCCCTTCCCACCACATCACCCCATGCTGTCGTCGGGGCCCAAGGGGCCCCATCACCCTGGCTGGTGGCCCATCCCGGGGCATCCTCCCAAAGAGCTTCAGAAAGTGAGCTCATGAGTCCACAAGAAAAATAAATGCGGCATCTGCCACTGTTTGGTTTGTGTCTTGGTCTAGAGAGGCAGGGAGATTTTTATGTAAGAAAGCCTTCCAGCGGGACCCCTGCAGAGGCTGGGCAAACACCGGGGCGACGGACAGTAAACAGGCCCAGGCGGGAAGGCCCGAGAGCCGGGGCCCGCGGCCACGGCTCGGCCCCGGGTTTATGGCGGCCTTCCTGTCTCCCCGGCCTCCCCTCCTGCCTCGCTCACACACAGCCTCTGCAGTGTCCTCCAGAACAGAAGAATCCATGTTCCCGAGCCAGCACACGCATGTCTCACACCCTCCCAGGGGAGTGGGCCCTGCCGGGAGGCCCATCTGTGGACCTAGAAGGACCCACGGGTTGGGGCCCGTGGGGTGGGGTCCGTGGACAGGGAAAGGCTGAGGTGAGTTCCATGCTCCCGAGTCCCCCAAACCAGCAGTGATGAAGGCAGGGCCAGTCTGACTGGCAGGTGAGGGACATTTGTGGTGCTTCTGGGGCAATGCCCAGAGCCCCGTGGGGGCAGAGCTAGAGGAAAGGGTGCTGGCACTCAGGGGGCGGGGGACCCAAGCCTCAACAGGGCTCAGGAACCTCCAGATACCAGAATCTACACGTCAGAGGGGAAAGACGTGAAAGGAAGAGGGGCCTGGTCTTTGAATCTGGAAAGGCAGAACGGGAGGCCTCCATGTTGTAACGGAAGTGGACCGCTCTGGGGGGCCGGCCGTGCCTCTCAGCGCAGCTCCCCGCTTTGCAGGGCCCTCTCCTCCCATTGCGAGCCCTCTCTCCAGATGACTGCTTCGTAGCAGGCCTCTGGCTCTGCTGGTGAGCAGGAGCCACGCCCTGGGGCCCCTGGAGGAAAGGCTGGGCTCAGCATCCAGGAAATGCACTGACAGCTGGTGGACCTGTGGTTCCGAACCCGGAGGGTGAGAAGAGGGCTTGGTGCCCCAGAAGTGTGCGGTGACCATGGCAACTGAGGTCTATCCCCACCCCTACGCTCTCTCTAAGCCTAAATTAGCATGAAGAACAAAATGCCCCTGGGAGGTCATGGCCAGACTCCAGAGGGCCCTCCCCACACGCCTCCCTGAAGGCCACTCACAGCTGAAGTAGCAAGACCCTCCCCTCCTGTCCCAGCCCCAGGACATGGACTGCCTTCCCTCCCACATGCCCATGCGCCTCCAGCATCAGAGCGAACGCAGGCGCCCAAGCCCCAGCAGAGCAGTGGGGTGGGGGGCAGCCACGCGTCCCAGGAAGAGCCAGGTCCCTCAGGGGCTCCAGCAAGGCCCTTTTCACACATGGTCTTGTTTGATTGCACCTGGGGTCCTGTGTTCGGCTGAGGAAACTGAGGCTCAGCAAGACTGTTGTTTGCCAGGTGACTCTCAAAAAGGCTGGCGTCTGAATCCAAGTGCCTGGACCCAGACACCCTGACCCCTTGGCCAGCCCCACTTGAAGCCCTGAGGACGCCACAGGGATTCCGACCTGGGATTTCAGGGCTGGAGGTGGGTCCTGAGGACGTTCCCCACCTTTAGCACCCAAGCTTCGTCACCTGCTCCCATCTGCCTTGTGGGCAGCAGGTGGTGGCCTTTCATTTCATGAACACCAATTAAGCAAGCTCCTTCTCCATGCCGGCACATGGGGCGGACAGAGGAAACAGTTGTCACCTGCTGTCACAGTGCCACTGAAGAATCTGGATGGTGGGCCCTGGGGCCAGAACCGAGTGGGCCTAGGATGCCAGGCAAGGTCCCACCCAGCCTGGGAAACTGCTGGATGCCAGGCCGCAGGGAGAAGCCATTCATCAATGGACAGCTAACTGGCCGTGAGCAGCCTCGAATTCCCCGGCAGTCAGGGGAGCTCACCCAAAGCCTCGGGCAGAAGTCCCAGGAGCAGCTGGGCCTGCAGAGCTCAGGGCTGTCCCTTAGCCAACAGGCCTTCATGCAGTAGGGTAGGAGGGTTCCCCAGAACACACAAGGGAGGAGGGCCAGCGCGGCCACCAGTGCGGAGGAGCCTGGTCCGACCCACCCCTCGGGAGTCCTCGCCAGTCACTCAGCCTCCTCACCACACGCGTGCCCCGCTGGGATGGACCTCATTAGGGGTGTTTGGCTATGCTGGCCCCGTGGCAGACAAGCCCCCTCTGCTGTAGGAGGCGCTTGGCCACGTGGATGCTGGATCAAGAGGACTGGGCTGGGCCACTGAGCGGGGGGCCCCTTGATGAGCACTGACATCCCCCACAAGAGGAAAGGGGAGCCCAGATGCTCACCCCACCCTCGGTCCCAAAGCCTGGGCAGCTTCCCTAGGGCAGGACCCATGAGCCCCAAAGGAAAGGTGCAAGGCTATGAGTAGGGGCTCAGGACTGGGCCTGGCCCCCTCGGCCACCCTCCCAAAAGCTCTGTGACTTTGGGCCAGTTACAGAACCCCTCTGTACCTCGGTTTCCCCATCTGAAAGGTGGAGTAAAATAACAGTACCTGCCTCAAAGGGTAACAGATCATTCTACCCAGTACACACCAAGTAATAAATGTTGATCGCATTGTTCCGTCAATCAGCGAGGATGTCAGGCCGGAGCCCTACCTGGAACCCTGGTGCTCATGGGTTCGCATTTGACTCATGGTTCAGAGTTACAGGCTCCCTGCTCCCCTTCCAGGCCCCCCCAAGCTCCCTGGGGCACGGTGCTCACCTAGGGTCCTCCGGAGGTCTTCACACTGGCTGATGTGAGGGAACTTCAGGATTTCCTTCCACTTCTTGCTTTTCCCTTTGCGTTTTCCTCCGCCTCCTGCAGAGATGGAGGAAGGTGTCAGGTGATGTTGTCCTTGTCCCAGTAAGCCTATCCCTCGCACCCCAACTGGGAGACAGCTGCAGGGAGAGGGTGGCTCAAGGTCCGTCAGTGACACACTCCAGGCACCAGGCACACACGCTCCCTCCCCCACTGGACTCGACCCTGTGTGTTGAGTCTCCTCGTTGCCTCATTTTGTCCTCTTGTTTTACTGGAGAGTCACCTTCCCCAACTGGAGGCCAGAGCTGGAGACAAGAACTTCAATTTCCACTTGTCTTAGGTATTCCCTTCCCCTCCATCCTCACAAACCCCAGGGTCTCAGAGGACATTTCTCAAGGCTGGCAGGACTCCCAAAGGGCCCTATCACAACTCACGTCCTCTGCAGTGTGTACACGTGACAGACATGCACACTTTAGGGATGTGTACACAATGGGCATGCACACAAAGAGCACACACATGATGAACACACACTCAACGAATGGGCATGTAATAAACACACAGTGAAGATGCACACATAATGAATGGGTATGACATGAACACATGTACAATGGCTAGGCACACATGAATACATGATGAACCCACTTAATAAAGATGTGTGTGTAATAAACACACGTGTGATGAAAACACAATAATAGGCACACGTAATGCAAACATGCACTGAACATGTGGGACTGAGTGAGCTGCACACACGTGGGGTGCTCCTGACCTCCCCACCACTCTGTATCCCAGTGACAGTAGGTGGCTGTCAGAGCACTCAGGTGTGCAAGCAGCAAGGGGACCTGCTCTGGCCTATGTGTCCCAGCCCAGCAGCACTTGGGGCCTGGGCCCTGGAGGCACCTCTGCGTCCCGTGGCCAGCCCTTCAACGACTGAGATGCTATCACCTGCCCCCACAATCTGAGTGGCCCTTAGCTGTCATCTGTCAGTGACTCTCCAAAGGTCACATAGCCCTGTAGGCCCTTCAGAGGGCCCTTCAGAGTCTCAGAATATCACCCTTCTTCATGTGATCCTCCGTGTGATCAGCACCCAAAGAACCAATGGGGTCTAGGGCCCAGTTAAAGGGATGTAAGATCCTGGGGCAGGACCTTAGCGCCCTGGGCCCGCTCCCTGCTCTGGGTGGGTATACAGTCCCTAACCCTCCCGGAGTGGGTCTGTGCAGGGCGAGGACCACTCTCTCCAGCCAGCACACCCAGGGACCCCAGTGGGCCCCAGCGCCTACCCCTGCCCAGTGTGCATCCCCAGGCTGGCAGAGCCACTCTCAGTGACTGGGGCTGCTCGCTCATCCAAACTGCCCTGGAAAGCTGAGGCCGTGTCTCCAATCAGCAGGTGGGTCAGCTTCTGGGGATGGGACCAGGACCTCCATCCTTGGAGCTAAGGAGTAGGAGAAGGAGCTAACAGGGAGGACAGGACACCGGTCTGTTTCTCTGCAGTCTGGTCTTCTGGTCTTCAACATGGACAACCAGCCCCAGCTCCCTGGTCCCAAGTCTCCGTAGAGGGCAAAGGCCTCAGACTCGGAAAGGCAGAAAGCAGGTGTACTGGGCATGTGCTGTGGCACATGTTTAACATTCGCTTGTTTAAGCTTCATTAAAACAACTCTTTGGGACGAAATCCCTGGGCCAGTCTCACAGACTGAAGAAACAGAGTCTGAGGTCGCCTAACTCACCAGCTGATGGCCTGTCTGACCCCACACCAGCTCTTCCCTCAGCCGGGGCACACACACATGCACATACGCATCTGTGTGTGCACACATGCGCACACACCGCAGAGCCCTCCCCCGGCCCTGCCCTGGGCCACGCCCCTCACCAGCACCGCCCTGGAGTCCTCATTCTAACTCTATGGTGCAAAACTCTTACTGCTCCCATGTGACAGATAAGGAAACAAGTACAGGGGGGAAGAAAGAAGCAAGTGGCCTAAGCCTCACGACTCAACGTAGGCAGAGCCAAGACCCCAGCCTGAGTGGAATCCAGACCCCCTTCCGGGTGCACTGAAAGCGAGCGGAATCCTCAGGGATCAAAAAGAAAGAGGACCTGGAATGGTATGTCTCTCCAAGAAAAGACACACCCAGACCTGAGATTGCAGACTTGCTCTGTCTGACCCACAGGTAGGTTGTTTGTCTGTTTAACGAACCAACAGTAAGATCTAAACATCAGGAGATTTCGCACACAAATCTGTTTCCAACCTCACTCCCATACCCAAGCAGCCCACGTGGCAAGATTCGGCTGGAGGCAGGGAGCTGCCCCTGCACCCAGGCCACGTTCTGGGGCCTGCCTGGCTTCCTGAGAGCAGAGGTCAGGTTGCATGCCCCCTGCCCCTGCAGGAGGCCACAAAGCCAGCATTGCCATCTCAGCCACTCACAGCTGTGAGGCCTCAAAGGGCCATTAGAATCATCTCGTCTGTGTCCCTTTCCACTCCCCCAATCCCACACTCATTGCTCCCAGACCTGGCTGGGATGAAGCACCTTTTGTGTGTGTGGTAAAATGCACACAACATAAAGTCGACCCGTGACCATTCTCAGGGAAACGGAACTCTGTATCCATCAGGCAACTCCACGTTCCTTCCACCCCGGCCCCTGGCGACCACCCTTCTGCTTCCTGCCTGCACAAATTTGAGTCCTTTCTCAGCGCCACACAGACGTAAAATCATACAATGCGCGGCCTTCTGTTACTGCACCAAGTCCTCCAGATTCGTCTCTGTCGCAAGCATGTGTCAGATTTCATTCCATTTTTAAAACTGAACAATCAACAACATTCAGCCGTGTGTAGAGACCACGTTGTGTTTATCCATTCATCTGCTGAAGGACACTTGGTTGCTTCCACCTTTCGGCTGTTGGGAATAGTGTTGCTATGGACACGAGCCCTGCTCTCGGTTCTTTGGGATGTGTCCTAGGAGAGGGATTGCTGGTGTGGGGCGGTGGGGAGAAACTCTCCTCTGCCTGTCAAGGTTGGTTCATTCTTCTTTAATTCTAGCAATTAAATCTACGCGAGACAGATGAACAAAATAACCAAGTTTAATTAAATGGGTACACGTGGGAACCCCACACACATGCGAGGTTCAGAGGCAGAGAGGTCAAACGGGGTGTTATACAACCCCCCGAGCTACAGGTGAGGCAAAGCCCGTGGGGGGGCAGAGTGGGGGAAGCTCACAGCAGGGTAGCGAGAAGGGCAGGTGCACAGTAATTACAAGTTTGCCCTGCCTTCTCGAGAGGGCACAAAAAGTTAGTTCTGGTAATAACTCTTATTATGGGCAGAGACCCTCATCTAAATTCTTTAAGAAAAAGGTAGAAGTTTCTTGTGAGCCCATTCTTGACTGATTTTAGCTCAAAATAATCACATATCACAGAGGTACATGTCGGGGTGACTCACTCTGAACCCCGACACTGGATCATAAGGTCATTCTATATTTACCCTTTTGAGGAACCAACGAAGTACTTTCAACAACAGTCTCCCAGGTCACACCCCATTGAGCTGCACCCCAACTCTGTGATCTTCAAACCCCAGAATGCAACATCATACCAGGCTCCCCAGGCAGCTCTCGGGAAGCCAGTCTACGGAAACCAGGAGTCTATTTTCTCCAGGCACACGTGTGCACATTTTTTAATGAATTAACCTACCCATTGACTTAAGAAAATTAACACAGATCCATTAATTCAAGCAGCCAATACGTGCTGAGCATCTCCTAAACGCTGAGCACCACGCAGGTGCTGGGGACGCAGGGATGGCAAGATGGGTGGGGCGGCACCCACTTGGAACTCCCCCCTCTTGAGGCACCCGATCTAGCAGGAACAACAGCCACAAAAAGCTTCTTTCGGTGGTTCTCAACCACTCCCAGAAGGGCGTGCCCCTAAAAGGCCACAGGGGCCCGGAGTGGCCCCCAGTTCCTCTACAAGCCCCGAGGAAGAAACCCAGCTCCCTGTAACTGGGACGGGCTGGGACAAGGATCACCTGAACAACACACAAAACCTGCCTCGGGGAGGTCGCCACTTCCAGACAAATACTTGGCTCTTGAGTATGCTGGCGGGTTAGTAAGTGGCACATTTCGTGACCGAGGTGTCGATACTGTTTATTATTTCAGTTGGACTAGATTGTTTCTCTGCATCCTGAGGCGGCCAGCCCACCACACATCTGCAGACATTCCCTTCCCGTCCTGGCCCTGTGGCCCCAGCTGCCCCAGGCCTACCTCCCAACTTGGGAGGGCTGTCAGGCCTCCAGAGGGCTAGAGCCATGACCTCCCAGTCACTCGGGGCACATCCAGGCCCCAGCAGTTTCCAGGCCTGCCCATCACCCACAGGCCAGCCCATTCTCCTCGGCCAGGCTGGAAGCCCTTGACCCTCATCATCTCCCCAGGCTTCATTCCCTTCCCAGTAGTTGCTCTCAGGGCCGTTGAACTTGCCATTCCCTCCAACAGGAACTTGACAGCGGGCCTCCTCAAGCTCGCACGTTCAGACCGACGGCCCTGGATGGAGCCAGGCGTAACCAGAGGCAGCACAGATGAGACCCCAGAAACAGCCACCCTCCCTTCCAAAACAGTTGAGGGGGCGGCCTCTGTTAAAGGCACAAGGACACAGGGTGGGCGAGGCACAGACTACAGCGGCCCCAGGATTCCAAGGAGGGCCACCCTCTGTCATCTCATGGAATGGTCCGTGGAGGGGCCAGGGGTCTTGGAAAGGTCAGCCTTATGCTAACGTGAGGGAGCAACTTCGTTAGAAACCCAAATGATGTTGCTAGGTGGGTCTTTAGAGTACATATGCATGGAAAGGTGGGGGGGGCCCACAAAGCTGCTCTCAGCACGTTGTGATAGAGCCACGACCTCCCAGTCACGTGGGTGGTGCTCAAGTGCCCTAGTGACCGTATGTAGGTGGGAAGGATCACTCTGTGCTCCCAGCCTTGAGATGCCGATGACTCACCTGCTCTCCGCGGTCAGATGCAAGGCAGCACAGTGTCACAATTCTGCCTGTGACGTCTGTGCAGCTACAGAATCTGTTCAATCCCTTTCTGCCCAGGTG